CTGTGTCTATAACTGCTTTTCTCTGAATTGCCCACCACAGGGTTCAGGGCTGGGACTAATCCCTCTTTACATATTCCGTTAGTAACAGGGAAAATAGACCTAATTGCAAGGTGTCCAAATTTGCAGAGTGTACAAAGAGAGCAGCGAGAGCTGACATATGGAGAATATAAGGAGGTTACAAGGTTGAAACATACATCTGGGGAGAACTACCAGGAACATAAAAGAATCAAAAGTGTTTTAGATAAATGAGAAAGAAAGAAAAGAAGAAGGAAATTAAGAAGTCATGGTGCGTTGACTACTCATACATTGAAAATATCACAAAGCAATACTGCATTTCCTTAACAGAATGCTTACATTTTATTAAACAGAAATAATGTTTCTCTAGAGACATTAAGGGACCTTTTAACTTTAAAAGCATATGCAGTATCCAAGTCAATTTCAGTACCTATGTTAAGAGTATATTTCTCAAAAATATACTTGAGTGTAATTGAAAAATAGCAAGGACCACCTGCAGCTGGCAGGGGATGGATTAGTAAATGAATATTTAGTTCTTTGCTTTCATGCACTTATCTCCTTTAGTTCATAAACAGATTAATTGAGGTAAAATATTTAACCAGAATGCTATGATGGGTCTGGTTCTCCATTACTGTGCACTTTGTGTAGCCAATGTAGTGATATCACAGGAGTTATATTTGGATAAGGACTACAGGACCAGTTCCCTTGTGATTAGAAAGGTAACACTTTACTAATGGCTATTCCTATGAGGGAGAACGAGATTGATGGACTGGAAAACAGAGAGAAAGAATATGGATGCTAGCGTGCCAGGAAGAAAGGCAAATAGACAAAAAAAAGTCTGATGAAATCAGATACCCTTCGTTTGATGTGAAAGTCAGCTTCAGCTATTTTTTGTTCTCTGTGTTGTAATCCTGAGATGTATGCAATATCTGAAGAAGGTAAAAAATACAAAATAGTGAATTCTGAAGTGGGGAACGGAGGGGTGGGGGGCAAGAGGAAGCTGCATAATCACAGTTTAGATATAAAATTAATTTTAACACAATGATTCTGTTTTCAAATACCACAGGACTCAAATAGGCATAAAGTTCCAGCAATCAGAACCTACTTGAGTGCACAATCTGTGAAAGAGCTATGCATTCCATACCTCACTCCGAAAGACTGTTAAAATATTTAATACTGTATTTACTATGCAGAGGGGGAAAAAAGATCAAGTCAGTATTTACTAAGGAGTCAACATTCTTTTCAGACATTTTACTAATCTTGCCAATTTCCAACTGCAAGAATAGTGCATGAAAGAAAATTAAAAAAACATGTCTAGGCCAATTTTACTTATAGGATTACTGTCTGGCCTACGTAAATAGAATAAAGAGGGTTTTTCAACGTACTGCTCTGACATAAAGTGCTGTGATTTATTTGGCATATAACAATATTGTTTAGCTTTATAAATGACATAGCTTAATACAGGTATAAAAGAGAATGAAAACCAATGTAAATATTGGAGGGAACAGGGTCTGCACCATTATTGCATGAGCTTCAATAGGCATTGAGTGCAATTTTCAAAAGCACCTAAGAGATTTAGAGTAGGGCTGGCTAGAAAACAAGAATTTCATTTTGCAAAAAATGTTGAGGTTTTGACATGTCTTTTCATTCCGATGTGGAACAAAAACAAGAAGAAAGAGTGACACCCACCCCAGAATAGCCAATAGCCCTGGGGTGTGGGAGACCCAAGTTCAAGTCCCTGCTCTGGTTCCTTCTTTCCCTTCCTCCCCCCACAAGAAATTCTTTCTGCTACCCGAGAAATCTTCCTTACACAAGTTTCAGTTTCAATGAATTAGCGTGTTTGGTCAAAAAACAAGCAAAACATTTTCTCCAAAAATTCCCAACCTGCTCTATTTAGGAGTACAAGTACCATTGTAAAATGTCTTCCAGAACTCCCAAGGTACTCAAGGGCAGCAGGCATGTTGCTAATGCCACTTAAAGAATTGCAGCACACTCTATCATTCAACACAAGCCAGCTCTGCTGCCGGGTTCAGAGCGGGGCCATAGCTTCATCTTTGGGGTAACTGCGCTCAGAAGAGATTGTGCAATCATATCTGCAGTTGTGGCCGGCTTCGTGGCTCTTTACACCCTTCTCCCCCTTGCATACCTACACAGGCTAGCCCCAGTTTAGTAAACTGAGCATCTCCAACCCTCTGAAATGTCTGGAAGTCCATTAATAAATTGGATACTTTGCCAAATCAACTAATCTATTCCTAGCACCTAAAAGCAGCACATCTGGGAATGACATCACAGCATTTAATCATTAAACCTCCTAGGGTACTTTTTCAAGATTGGATATTTGTTCTGGTGTCCCAGCCAAATTCCAATATAGTTACAGAAATGTATCTAAAAATGCTCATACCACTTTCAATTGGATACAGAATTTTCTTCATATCTCATTCTAAATGGTTATGGTGCACTGCTCAATAACGGCCTTACTCCTCTGCAGAGATGGAGGCGTATCAGTGGTAGGTGCAATGATTCCTAAATATAAATAGGGCCTCTGTTATTCAGCTGCACTTGTACAGGAAGTGCCTGTATAGGGAACCTCTTCTCTCAGCATACCTATGCAGCAACAAAAGAACAGGATGCCATTCTGGTACTCTCTTGAGCAAAAAAAGGCCCCATCTAATGAAAGTGCTATCACTCCATAGTTCTGAGGATTTGTGGTCTGCAGTTTGGGGGCACGTTCAGGTCTTTTCTACATATACCTTCTTTTCTTCCCCTAGTAATGAACACATGCAGGAGGAAAGTAGTGGGTGATGGAGTGGCCATCTGCTAAGCACCAAGTGATCTGAGCAGTACTGCCAACCCCAGGCATTCCAAACTCCAAAATCATGGGACTGGATTGGGATTTTGAAAATAATAAAATTTGGGTTATTTTTGTTTGGCTCCTGGTTTTTGAGCCTTTGGAGTGATATTATTGAGCTATTCTCTGCAGCCACAAGGGCAGGAAATTAACTTTTTTCCCCCCTTCCATTTAATCATCATGAGACTCCAGGAACTGGGGCTTTAAAATAAACCCACAAATATTATGAGACATCCAAACAATGGTAAGAATTGGCAATACTGCAGGAACCAGTAAAGGAAGTTTGATGCCCCTGGAGAAGAGGAAGGAGAGGAGAGTCTCCCTCTCCTTCTCCTGAAGCTTCTGTAGTCACCAACAGCTTGGCCTGCATCAGAGACTGGCCAACACAACCCTCCTGTTTCTACTAGTAGCACTTTGCTCCACCTTCCCCAGAAGCACAAGAAATTCTGGCATAACCCACTCTCCTGAAAATAATCCCCCCACCCCATGCTGGACATTAGAGCGGAAGGCACTGGGGCTGGAATATCCCTTTTGCCCAGGCAAGGTCTCAGCATAGGTTGGAACTCTTCCTGGTTGTTAAAGGGGCACTGTTTGGAGCTCCCACTTGTACCACCACCACAGAAGCAACCACCTAGCCCCTGCTCGAACCAGAAAGTAGAGAAAGGACCTGAAAATTAAGAATTCCATCTTCTAAGAAGGAGCTTAATTCTACCTAACACAACTGAAATTTCATTATAAGGTATCTTGGAATGGACTAGGGTTGAAAACCACCCCTTACATAACACAAGACACATCATTTTTCTTTTCCTAACAAAACACCTATTTCCACTCAAATACCCTGCTTTGGGATTTTTCATGACTGGAATCTCCTCTTCCCTACCGCAGATAAACATCGCAGGCCCAAATTCATGTGCCATTTTCTCATGTCTGCAAATTTTACCCTGGATGTTTACTATAGCAAAGGGACAAATGGATACCACTTTTTTGAGGCAGAAGATCCTGTCACTGGGATATATGGGACAGAGTATGAAATTAAACAAAGGACGTTTTAGGCTACATATCTGGGAATATTTGCTAACAATGAGACCCACTGGATTGTGGAACAATCTGCCAAGGAATGTGAAGGAAGCCCCTGTTCTTGAGTTATCTAAAAATGGACTGGTCATTACTCTGAAACAACAGGGGATAAACTAGCTGGCTCAATAGATTTTTCTAGCTCTATTTTTTTTTATAATTGCATATTCTTATAAGAAACAAGACTAAACAAAGGCAGGGTCTCCTCTCTTTACCTTTGGAAGTCCTTGTTGTGTGAAATCTACACACAGAGAGATTTCAAATTGCTCTGCACACAGTATAGCATATGTACTGATAGTCATATAGATATAAAAGTTACATTTGTGCTTACAGAAGTAGCAGCTGCTTGTTGGTACAAAATACTCATACTGAAAAAACAGGTGACAATGAATTCAAGCATATGCAAGTATTAAGCAAATAACTTATGAATTGCCAACAGCTGTTCCAAAGACCTCACCCTGTTTGCCACAGGTATTAATTTAAAGAATGATACCCACCCTCATTTAAACATGTACACACTCTTTCTTGGCTTCTGAGCTATTCTAGACCAGGCAGACAGTTCGTATGGTAAATTTGAAAACGACTACACTATGAATCCTCCATCCTTTTTAAAAACAGACAGACACACAAAGGAAAACAAGCTCAAGAGAGATTATGAAACTTGGTCTCTAATTTTATCCGATCAGTTTACAAACAGATTTCAAAGGAGACCAAAAGAAAAGAAATTTTGTTGTTAAACTTTATCACAGTTTGATGGCTTTTTTAGTGTATATTTTGTTCAGAGAAGTATGCTGTATTGAGCCTTTGTCCCAGAATTACACAGAAAGGAAGTAAAACCCCTATTTTTTCACCATAATGGGCAATATTAAAGGATGGAGGACAGAGATTTTAATTTTCCCCTCATATCACTGTTTTACCATTGCAACTTTAAAGAATGTGGCATTGATAAACATTATTTTTCCTTCCTATGCAGTTACATCTTTTTCATATCTATAATACCAAGAAAGAATGCATCCAAATAGAGCATTATTGCCCTCTGAAATACTTAAGCTTTTCACAGTACCTTTCTACTCTGATGTCATCTCTTGCCTCATCTGAGGTGGCCTTGGCTGTTACAGCTATAGCATCCTTTTCAGATACAGGAAGGAGAGAATGACAGGGCTCAGGGAAGTTGCTGAGGTTATGGAAAAAGCAGTGATATGATTAGTTAGTGGAAAAGAGGTTCTAGGTTGATATTCTTTTGAATTAACATCTATGCTCATACTAGAAATTCAAAATAGTGCTGCAAAAATGTACAGAAGAAAACACTGTTTTCATTTACTGTTTTAAAATAAAAACCATGTTTGAGGCATTCTTGAGCTCCCAACAAAATGTTTTGCACATACACAAACCCTGATTAAGAAAGCTACACATATGAATTCCTAGCTCGGTACACAGGTAATATACAAATGCAACCTCAGTTAACTGAATGTCTTTGGGGACACTTAATATTATCAAACAATCAATTGCATTGTTAACGTAATTAGCAGGTGTACTCCCTCCACCCCCTCCTTTCTCTCTCTCTCTCTCTCTCTCTCTCTGTATTCATCTTTTGTCTGTCTTCTATTTAGATTATAAATTCTTTGGGGGCAGGAAACATCTTTTTGTCCTGGGTTTGTACAGTAGCCTAGCAGAGTGAGGCACTGTTCCATGACTAGGGATCCTAGGTGCTATGGTAACACAAATAATATTCAATATATCAGGGAATGGGACTGTTTTAAATAATAGTGGGTCAAGATAACTGAGGTTAGGATAATCAAGGTTGTAAGGTAGCTGAGTTTTTTAACTTTCAGATTGCAGTCTACAATGAAAACACTGCAGGCCCAATTTTTCAACTAAAGCACACCTATTAAAGTGTAATTTACTTTGCTAACTTTAGGCAATGCAGTGTGAAAATTGGGGTCATTACAGAATCACTACAGAGGAGTTTAAGAATTAGGAAAGGTCAGTGGAGCTCTTGAAGATCAAGGTCTTTACAAGTCCCAAAAGGTCACTTCTATTATATTTAGACCTTAAAAGGTATTTAAAATTTCTTCCACTGAGGCCAATTTTTGGTTAAAAGTCAATGGTAGCCATGCCCACCTGAAAACCTGCACCACAAACAACAGATTTATATGTCTAAAATTTATCCCTCTGCAACCCTAGGACAATGACAACTCTGTCTCACAAAATTAATTTAAAATAAGTACCTTTCTGTAGGTAATCCTTCAGTAACCATGTCCAGAAGTTCATTGATGTGATGTTTCTTAGGCTCAGTGAATGAAGGGGTTGGTACCTTTCCTTCGGCATTCAGCGGTGAGCTGTCATGTTCTGAATGCATCTTGCTCCATTGATTTTCAGAAGCAACATTAAAATCTGTACTTACACAATCCGATTCGGGCTCCATCCCTGTAATAGTTTCTGAGTGATGCTTTTTTGTTTCTGTCCCTTGATCTTGAATGCTTGCTTGCAAAGCTGCATCACCCTTACTAATTAACACTGTGCCTGTAATACCTGTTTCAGGGGTGTCTCCAAGTTGCTCATTGCCACATATAGAAGCTTCTGCCACTGCTGTGCTGAACATGGTGTCACTTTCTTCCTTCACATCCCTCTTAGTCACACTGCTGAGTTCATGTTTAAAGTCAGCCTGGGAATGATCATCATGGCTTAGTTCATTTTTAAAGTGATCTATTAACCCATGTATTGTTGCTTCTTTTCCCTGCTGTGAGTCTTGAAGATTTCCTAATATTTCCAGGCATTTTCTACTTCCCAAAGCATCCAGCATCATATATGTGTCATCCTGAGGCTTAATTTCATGCACAAGATTATTGTGAGTGGATTTCTCTTGGATTTCACCAGACAACAGACGAAGATCATCTCTTTTTACTTCAGCTTTGAAGATGTCTCCTTGGACAATTGGTGAGGCTGACATGTTGCAGGTACCATTGACAGTGCTTGGTTCACAGTCTTTACTTTTCTTCTGCTCATTTGGCATAAAGTCCTGGCACTGATTTTCGTAAGATATTAGATCTTCTGATTCTGCATTACATTGTACAATTAAATTACATTCCTCTGCCTCTGGGATGGCAGCACTTTCTAAATCATTCTTCTGAACAGTGCCTGTATCTTCTGAAGAGGTCCCAGGAATTGTGGGCTGGTCCTTATTGTCATAAGATGCAGTTAAGTTTGCAGCTTTGGTCCCATCAGATGAAGCAGATTCCAGCTTTTCTATCTCTTGGTCCACAAGAACTCCAGCATTCACACTGCTAGTATGTGTACCTTCCTCTCTTTCCATCTGACTACCTTTTGTGCTTTCAGTTTTGTTGTCCAGCTTTCTTAAATTCGTAAGAGGCAGTTCAACAGATTTAGAACCATCCAATTTGGAAACTTTCTTTTCTGAAAAGGTACCTGGTTGTTTATGTTCCTCGTTTTCTGGAAGCTTTAGTTCTCTGAGCATGTCTTCTTGCTGTGCTGACTTCTCTTTGCTAAAAATCTCAGAATCCAAAGGCAACTCTTGTCTCTCTATTTCTGAGTCACTTTCTTGTCCTGTGTTATTGATGCTTCCATCAACACCTTCACCTACTGTGTTAGGCTCTGAAAAGTTCTCAGCACTTTGTAGAACTGGTATATCTTTAACCACGGGACTTTGCCCACTGCTTGCATAAATTTCAGATGAAAGTGGGGGTAATTCAGTATTCAGAGCGTTGCGCACAGGTTTCTCAAATATTTTACTGAGATGCTCCCTGAAATCAGGAAAGCTGGCACCAGCGCCAAAGGTCCTGGAACTCGGAACATCATTCTCCCTTTCACAGTTTTCTGCAGTCTCTTTGGAAATATTTATTTTTGTCTTGGTTATGCTATTATTCTCTTTCAAAACATTTTCAGTTTTCTCTGCACTTCCAGAGTTTTCTAAGATCTTCCTGTACTTGTCATCTACACAGATATTTGTTGCAATTTCCTCAATACATCCTTCTTGTTTACCAGCAGATGAAAGACTCAGCAGCCTCTCTCCTAGGCTAGGAAGACTGAACAGAGGCTCCGTTGAACTGTCACTTTCCTGTGCTTTGAAGTTTACATCACTTTTTGTTCCTTTAGTTTTAATTGCAGATATCTCCTTCTTCAGCTTCTCAAAATTAAATTGTGTTAAGTTTCCTGCAAATTGCCCTGCATCAGCAGAATCTAGTATGGGTGAAATACTCTCTCCTTCACACTGGAAACTTTGGCCAGGAATACTTGTTTCTTTCATAGAAGTATTTTCTAAATGTGCTGCTTCAGTGCTGTTTTGATCAGCTGTGCTTATTATCCCTGGTGAAATGTCTTTTAAATGCACAGGTACGGTAGCATCAGCTGTTATCTGCAAATCAGAAGCAACTTCTAAGACATTTTGGCATGTTTTAACTACAAGCTTATTATTTAGTAACACACCCACAATACCGTCATTCTTACAGTTTTCAGGTTGCTGGCTAGCTTCACTATGATGATCCAATGCAAAGGTCGATGTAGAAAGAATTGGGAATTCTTCTGTTTCAGAGCTAGCGGGCAGATGCTCATTCTCGGCTTTTTTAATGCAGTTTAATGTATATGAAGAATTGTTGGGAGCCACTTCCCTGTATTCCTGTAATGCAGAAGGATTTTCCTTTGCACCTGAATTTGCATCTACTTTCTGATTGCTTGTCTCTGTGATAGAAGAGTCCCTTTCAAAATTTAGTTTTAGATTTTCAACTTTTGGGATGAGTTCGCTGTCTGAAGTCAGATCCTTTTTTGTTTCTAGAACTGAGCCTTTCACCAACGATCGCATTTTTTCTAGGTTTTCTGAACTAGGTATTTGAGTATCATTCTTGTTTTTTTCATATTTATTGTCCTCAGAGTCATCATCAGAACATGTTATTTCAATATCAGTTAGTGAAGTCTGTGGTATATCAGTGACACTTATTGAATTCTGCGCCCCTGGAATACAGTCAGTAGCACCAGCACTGCTTACATTAGTATTGTCTGCTGTCTTACATATGCTGTCTGGCTGTTCATTTATGTCAGATTCTTTTGAAAATGCATCATCTTGACATGCTTCTTCATGTTGACTGACTGAGATCAAAGAATTATTCTCCTGCTTGGGCTTGCTAGAAATCTGCCTACTGAAGCGATTTCGTTCTGCCTCTAGGTCAGTTTTATTTTGTTGAGTGCAGTCTTGCAAAGTAGCTACCTTCAGATCAGAAATATTCTGCAAATGCTCAGTGTTGCACATGTTCCCTTTCATGCAAGCAGTACTTTTATTTGAGTCCTCCCGTGGCACTGCAGCAGGACTATATTTGAATGGCTCTGGCTCTAGCACAGAAGGTGCTGTTTGAGGGCTGCTTGTAAGGTCTAGAGACATATCTGATTTGCTTCTGCATATGTCCTGACAGTCACTGTGATAACTTAACTCCGCTAAATGCTCATTTTTCTGAGCCATTTCTTTATGTTCCTGTTCATCAGTACTTGTGACAGTATTCAGATTGCTTTGGTGTTTGTGTTTTTCAAATCCTATATTTGAAATGTGCTGTTGACTCTTTCTGGCAGCAAAGTTGAGGCTCTCTCTCTGCTCTGTTTGTGGAAGGGTTATTGACACATCTCCCATTTCTTGCTTTTCTTTAATATAGCTTTTAAGGGTCTCTGGAGAGCCATCTTTGTCACTCTCGGATGGCTGTTTATTCTCAGTTATGCTGCTATCATGTAATTCTTCTAAACTCCACTGCTTTTGCTGGGGACTGAACTCCTCAGTATTTGCTGATGCTTGAGAGATTTCAGAATGAACCACTTGCATACTTTTGTCACTTTTTGCAGCCATTTGTTCCTGCTGAACTTGCTTTGGTGTGTCAGATGTGCATTCCTTTTTCAGTGCCAAATCTTTGTCATCTACATAGCTTTCCACTTCAGCTCTGCATTCCTCCTGCTTAATTTCATTATTTTCTTTAATGTCTACAGCACTGCTTTGTTTAACAACAGTTACAGGTACGCACGCAGGATCACTATTAGGCACCTCCGCTACTTGTCTGTTCCATTCTTTGCTTTCACAAATACGTGAGGCCTCCTGAATTTTTGCTTTACGTAGTGCAACACAGTCAGTAGTTCCTATCAATTCACTTAAGCCCTGATGTTCAAGTTCTGATTTGGGAGTTTGTATATTTTCTTCAGACCCTTCATTGCTTTGAAACATTTCTTGATGCTTAGTTTTGCACTCTGACTCCAATACAGCTTCTTTAGCAAAAGTGTGTTCCCAGGATTCATCTTGCTTAGTTTGCATAATATTACTGTCCTGAGAGTGCAGAAGCGGTGAACCATGTGCATTAACTGAACAAACCTTTTCAGTCATTTTATAGCCTAGCAAGGCTAACGTTTTGTCTTCTGTGTCAGTGTTAAAATGATCAAAACTCAGAGGGCATTCTTCCCTGGCTAACTGTGGAGTTTCCACAACTGGAAAGCTGCACTTTGAGGACAAGTCGTGTGTGACAATTGCTTTCTCTTTGCTCATTTGTTGTTCAGGTTCACGCTGGAAACAGAGTGAATTATCTTCAGCTACTTTCAAGTTACTCTCTGAATTCAGATGCTTTTCCACAGCTTTTTCATTTATGTCACTTTTTAAAGTCTTGCCTGAAAAGCTGATTTCTTTGAAATCATCCCCCCAGTTGGCATCCTTCCTGTCCTGCTTGTTGCTATTATCAAAGTTCAATAGTATCCCTTCTGCCTCATTTAACCCTTCAGGTGATGCACTGGTTGCTATAACTTGCACTTCCTCTGTTCTGTCCTTTCCCATAGAGTCTTCAGTTTTTTCTGCAGGTACTTCAATGTCAGTTTCTTTTAGATTCAGCTCTGTGGGTTTACTCCCACAAGTTAAATCTAATACATATTTTTCCAGTGCCAATCTTTCATGTACCATCGAACCTTCCTTGTTGGAATTCATAGCATTTTCTACATCAGAAAGAAGGATGTTTTCTACTAACACGATATCAGCTTTTATTGTTTCATTAATGCTGTCTTGATCTTTTGTGTTTTCAGATGTGAGATCTGTTTTTTGCTCTCCCTCTGCCTTAAGCAACAGAGGCACATTAAAAGGTTCAGTGCTAACAAACAAATTCACCTTTTGAGGCTCTCTTTCAAAACTGGGCTCCGCTGTTTTAGAAGTTGTTTTTTGTGCTTTACTTCTAACTGGATCGTGTTGTTCATTTGCAGATACAGATTCCCCTGAAGGTTCATCTGTCTTTGGTACCAGGAACAGGTCTGAAGGGTTTAAAGTGCAAGCTGCTGGTTGCTTCCCATTGTTTTCAGAGAGATGTGGGTTTGGGTCATTCCCTTTAGTTGTGGTTATATCTCCTCTACATAAACTGTTGGCATCACTGAACTCAGGGTTATCAACCAAACACTGAACATTCACAACTGCTCCATATTTTTCACTGTCTGAGCCTCCTGTTGTGGGATAATTTAGGATTAAGGTTTCCTTTTTCATTAACAGACCCTCTGTGCCATCTGTTTTCTGTCCACCTCGCTGTATTACAGTCTGCTCCTTATGACCCACTTCCAAAAATCCTGGCCCCTGCTTGGCCTCTTGAGTGGTAAAGTAATCTCCTGCTTCTTTACCCTGGGGTAATGAGACAGCATGCGAATCCCTCTTGCCATCCAGCTGTTCACTCTGCCATAATGGTTCTAATTCACATGAATTTGTTTGTGTAACTCCTTGTGTCAAAGTAGCTTCTGCAGAAGGGCTAGATTCTAAGCTTGTATTTTCTGGATCATTCTCACTCTTTTTGATAGAAGAGGCAGCAATATTGTCACTTTCTGGGCCACTGTCCACAAATATAGCATCTGCTGTTCCTATTTCTTTGTCATCCACAGTGTTTGGGAAAGGCACCGTTACAATACTCTTCGGGGTTGGTAAATCATCACTGCTGTCCGTGAGATCTGCTGTGACATATTCTTTGGCACATTCTGCTAAAGGCATGGAGATAGGTAGGCTTCTCTCCTTTGCTTCTGCAGCCTGTATTAATAAGTCAGAACCAGTTTGTCCTCCATGTTCTTGCAGGATATTACTCTGTGCCGTCACCTCTGCAGACACTGCACATGAATTTGGATCAGATAAACCTTCAGCAGTGTGGCTACCGATGCCTTCATTACTGCTGCTGCCAACAATGGAAATGTTTATTTGTTTCATATCAGCAAACAAAGGGGAGCAAAACATAAAAACAATTCATGCCACTGAGGTTTCAAAGCCATGCAGTACATGCACTGAAAAGTTGACAATCTGCTTTCAAGAGGCAAGATATCAGCAACACATTCTATAGTGATTCAAAAACTCATGACACTGAAATATACTTCCTCAGCCTTGTCTGCTATCCGTCATACTTGCCTTACGTTTTTTTTAACCTCGCCACAGATTTGGTATTAATAATTTAATTCCTACACTACTATGTTTTCCCCTCCAAAATGCTGACAGAAAAAAATAAAAAAAAATTATAAGAGAGAGAATTGGACAAAAAAAATAACAAAAATCCTCAATTTTGCAGTTCCTTCTAGCATAGACCTACCAGTGGAGCTAGAAATGTTTGTTTAGGGTTAAAGGACCTGATGTCCCTGATCATCATCATCATCATCATTTTGTTGTGCTTTTCTTTATCTTATTCAATTAAGCAATAAGGGCCCTCATCTGTTAAAACATTTACTTCTGGGTGTGGTGCTTACTTCTGTGAGTACAACAGTCCCATTGATTTCACTGCGATAAGTGATACTAATAAGCGCTGCACCTGATAATAAGGGTTTGCAAAATCTGGCCTCAAGACATGAATGTGTTACTGCATAAAACTGCATTTAAGCACAGTTGAGGCTAGTCATGAGGCCAAAGGTTTCCGCCCACAAACCTGCATTGTCATGCAATAATACACACTTTGGACTGGACTACACGGGGGGGGGGGGGGGAAAATCGATCTAAGTTACGCAACTTCAACTACGTGAATAACGTAGCTGAAGTCGACGTACTTAGATCTACTCACTGCGGTGTCTTCACTGCCGTGAGTCAACTGTTGACGCTCCTCCGTCGACTCCGCCTGCACCTCTCGCTCCGGTGGAGTACTGGAGTCGACAGGAGAGCGCTCGGTGGTCGATTTATCGCATCTATACTAGACATGATAAATCGACCCCCGCTGGATCAATCGCTGCCCGTCGATCCAGCGGGTAATGTAGACAAGCCCTTTGTCTGGCCTTTTTGATATGTTGTTTGTTTTTTCAATACATATAAGAGATAACTGCTTGCAATAGCTATTTCTCCCCCTCAGAGAAATGTTGAGGAAGAAGAAATGAAGAGAATAAGATTGAGTGTGTGTATGTAGGGGGGGAATAGGATATTTTCTATGATTTATCTCCATATTCATTTCACTTAAAATTGGGCTGATGATTAATCACAGTTAACTCACGCAATTAACTCAAAAAAATTAATCATGATTAAAAAAAATTAATCACGATTAATCGCCGTTTTAACCACATTATTAAACAACAGACTACCAATTGAAATTTATTAAATATGTTTGGATGTTTTTCTACATTTTCAAATATATTGATTTCAGTTACAACACAGTATACAAAGTGTACACTGCTCACACTATATTATTATTTAGATAAACAAAAGAAGCAATATTTTTCAATTCACTTCATACAAGTACTACTTCTTGTTCAGCCAATTGCTAAGACAAAACAAGTTAGTTTACATTTATGGGAGATAATGCTGCCCGCTTCTTATTTACAATGTCACCAGAAAGTGAGAACAGGCGTTCACATGGGATTTTTGTAGCCGGCATTGCAAGCTATTTACCTGCTGGCTTCCTAAACATTCGTATGACCCTTCATGCTCAGCCACCATTCCAGAGGACATGCTTCCATGCTGATGACGCTCGTTAAAAAAAAATGTGTTAATTAAATTTGTGACTGAACTCCTTGGGGGGGAATTGTATGTCTCCAGCTCTATTTTACCCGCATTCTGCCATATATTTCATGTTATAGTAGTCTTGGGTGATGATTCAGCACATGTTCATTTTAAGAACACTTTCACTGCAGATTTGACAAAACACAAAGAAGGTACCTGTGACGTTGTGCAGTCTATATAGTTTTATAAAAATATGATACGTGAATATAATGTAACTGGAATATGCTTCATGCAAAAGGTCTCTTGTAAGGTATCATTACAAAGCTTATAATCTACTGAGTGTGATCATCCTATTTGTATAAATGTACCACTCTTGT